CGCTAAACGTAGTAGTGCAAAATAACTAATGATCAGTTTACTTAAATCTGAATCGTTCTACGTTTAGTGGACTTTACCACATAATTTGGGCTACTAAAATTAAGAACTAACCTGGGAGAATACACAAACACTTGTAACAATTATTTAAACAAAACTTTACAATAAATTTCGTTTTAGTAAAAATATATAAGAGCGATGCGTTCGATACCATTTTCAAACACTTCCTTCCTGTTTTTTTTTTGCTTTCCTTTACTCGCTTCCTGTACCTGGACCATCGCTTCTTGCATCATCTGGACACTAGACTTTTAGGCCAAGTTCGAAAAACGTGTAATTATTTACCTAAGTAAAAAGAGATTTTTAACTCCTTTGCAAGCTCTTCACATTTTACAACACAATTTAGAAATTCCAAACTTATTCAAGTATAAATTTGTAAAACGTAATAAAGTACTGAACCATTACAATACCTAGGTATGTAAAAATATAAAAAACAATTTTCTAAAAAAATGTTGGTTGGGTTGGATTGGAATGGAATGCAAGATGTCGCTAAAAGCTGTTATTTTCAAAACTATAGTTTTGAAAATAACAGCTTTTACCTATAGGTAATTGTAACCATGTCAAATAAATCAAGACAGGAATACGCATAAATACACTACGACAGTTTTGTTATCGAATAAGAAATTTTTATTTAACGCTTTTAAGGTCTTTATTGCATAATTTAAGATTTTTCTTAGGCGCCATCTTTTACTAACAAGGGGTTTAAATTAAGTATAAGTGGTGGATATGGCCGATTTGGAAATTGAATTGTTAAAATTATTTAAAAATATTAATAACAAAAATAGAAATAACGAATGGATTTTGATTTTGAAAAGCAACGCAAGTGAAGTAGTTCACCATTAGTCCGATCATAAAGCGCGCGGTTCAGAATTTTTATTTATTACGAAAAGATATTATTGTAATAAAAATTGTGATTGGAAATTTAATTACAATTTCACTAATAAATCACAATAATATAATATTTAAAGTAAGATAGTTAAAATTTGTGAGGAGGCTAAGCCTCCCTTGCCTTCAATGACGAGCCGCCACTGATAATAATAATAATAATATTTAAAATTGTTAAGTAAGGTTACCCATCTGACATTTTTTAAATCACTTAAATATCTACTAATGGATAAGGTATAGTATTACACTCAACATTATGAGCATTATTCACTCATCCTCGTGAATAATAGTTTAATAGCCTGCATTATCTCTCGTATAATAAAATACTATCAATAGTTAATTAATTAGTTTATTTTGCAAACGTTAAATCTGTTAAAATTACGATTTTACAACGTTATATTCTATATGATTAAGGGGGTACTATTTATCCTCTTTGCGCCCGTGTAAACAGCGTTGTCGTACGGTTTCAATGTGGTTGAGTTGTCTACCGAGTACATATACAATTTTCCAACCCAAATGCTATAGATATTCAGAAGACGCCTCAGAACATACATGTATGTAATACATACTATGTATAGTAGGGTGATTCATTTCCGCAAAGTTGTTTTTTTTTCGGTGCTCAAGCAAAATATTAATCTACCTATAGAAAAAAAAAATTTCACCAAGGTAGAGCTCTTAATATCAATTTTAAGTACTTGCAGTTTAAATTTAAAGTTTTCCCATTTAAAATGCATGTAAAAAAAATGTTTTTTTATTCAAATTTCTAATGCTCGCCCGCTTTTTAAAATATTGTGAATCGGTTTTATGGACCTTATAGGGAATTTCACGCTCTTCAAAATTGTCTTTGTATTTTTTTGTGTAACTCGTAGTGGTTCGCCAGTAGGAGTCATCAAATTTCAATTTTTTGAATGAACATTTTTTTTTGCAATTTTTTTTAACAATTCGCAAAAAATAGTTTAATAAAAAGAGCTGAATCGTAAAAAATAGTCTTTTAACAAATATTTGATGAATTTACGGCCATTTTTATATCTTAAAACGTAAGTAATTGATAAATATTAACCAATTATGCTATTTAAATTAAACTTTATTATTTACTATAACTTTTTCAGACTTATTATGATTTCTGACAAAAAATAAATATAAACATAACACATCAATTCATAAAAATAACAACAAAACTTTAATCAAAACAAATAACAGATTACATTATTAGATAATATATTGCAAATTTAATAAAAATCTGAATAGTCATAAATAAACAAGTTGATAAATATTAAATTATTTCGACTTTTATACAAAGCAAATTAAGATTTTATTTTATGACGTAACTAACGTGCCCTTAACATGTATACAGGTACAATTTATTATTATATTATTGTTGTGCCGCCAATTTTAAATTAAGCGGCACGGCAGTGATGACGTTTTTTATCTATTACGTCACTAGCGTGCCCGTAAAAAATAAATTGCAGGCACTCTAACGTGCACCTAGTCACTTCGTACTTTGTTCTCGGACTAATCACTAAATACAACAAACAATACATTTTGGGGTTAAGTATAACATAAAGCATCAAACCCGTTTACAAAGACAATAGAGTCGCTAACGTCATACTAATTAACTAGAGCAATCATAAAATTGTAACAGTTGCTTTCCCAATCAAATAATTATCATTATTTTTTTACTTATGTTCGAATATGCCATCAAAATATTTTTTAGTGCAATTATTCAAATAGCAATTTCTACTTAAACAATATTGAAGCAAATGGTGAAGTTGACAATAAAAACAATTTACTTTTTCGTTAATTTATGAATTTTGTTAAAAAAATTGAATAACCTTCATTTATATTTATTGCTATATTACGAAAATGTTGAAAAATTGCAGAATCTAAGTTGCAATTGTATATTTGTTGTTTTTTTATAAATTAATGTGTTTTTTTATAAGTCAAAAATCATAATAACTCTGGAAAAGTTATTGTTGTAGAGAATTATATCGATAGTAAATAAGAAAGTTTAATTTAAATAGCATAATTGGTTAATATTTATCAATTACTTACGTTTTAAGATATAAAAATGGCCGTAAATTCATCAAATATTTGTTAAAAGACTATTTTTTACGATTAAGCTCTTTTTTTTCACTATTTTTTGCGAATTGTTAAAAAAAATTGCAAAAAAAAATGTTCATTCAAAAAATTGAAATTTGATGACTCCTACTGGCGAACCACTACGAGTTACACAAAAAACACAAAGACAATTTTGAAGGGCGTGAAATTCCCTATAAGGTCCATAAAACCGATTCACAATAATGTAAAGAGCGGGCGAGCATTAGAAATTTGAAAAAAAAAACCATTTTTTTTACATGCATTTTAAATGGGAAAACTTTAAATTTAAACTGCAAGTACTTAAAATTGATATTAAGAGCTCTACCCTGGTGAAATTTTTTTTTTCTATAGGTAGATTAATATTTTGCTTGAGCGCCGAGAAAAAAAAAGTTTTTTGCGGAAATGAATCAACATTATGAGCATTATTCACTCATCCTCGTGAATAATAGTTTAATAGCCTGCATTATCTCTCGTATAATAAAATACTATCAATAATTAATTAATTAGTTTATTTTGCAAACGTTAAATCTGTTAAAATTACGATTTTACAACGTTATATTCTATATGATTAAGGGGGTACTATTTATCCTCTTTGCGCCCGTGTAAACAGCGTTGTCGTACGGTTTCAATGTGGTTGAGTTGTCTACCGAGTACATAGACAATTTTCCAACCCAAATGCTATAGATATTCAGAAGACGCCTCAGAACATACATGATTAAGGGGGTACTATTTATCCTCTTTGCGCCCGTGTAAACAGCGTTGTCGTACGGTTTCAATGTGGTTGAGTTGTCTACCGAGTACATAGACAATTTTCCAACCCAAATGCTATAGATATTCAGAAGACGCCTCAGAACATACATGTATGTATAGTATACATTGTATACACATGCAAGATTTATTTTTAATACCTTCAATTTATAAAATATTTCATAGTTTTTGAGATTAACAATTATCAGGTTTTTAAACTTTTTTGGAATGAAATTACTCACATTTTGAAACATCTAAATTTACTAAATGGGCCGGTTGGTTTTTGGGTATACTAATATCAGTTATTAGACATGGGACCCACCAAATTTATAATAGTTTATAATGACATTAAATAAACAGAATTTAAATTGATGTGTGCGAAAAAAAGTTAGTTTTTCCTGTTGCCTCATCTGCCTCCAGGCCACCCTATTTGAGATAATTCAAATTAAAGTGGTGCAATTTATTATCTACTATAATTTATCGACAAATTTAAAATTTTATTTAAAAAATCCAAATATTACAGATTTTATTGGATTTTAAATTTTTATTATTTATTTTATTAATGGGTCCCATGTCTAATAACTAAGATATTGGTATACATAAAATCCACCAGCCGCCACTGAAATTTAGGGAATTTTTGCACTCCTAGGAAAAACTTCTGACCTGATAGAGACATTCTGAGGTTATATTCGGTGACTCCAAAAATATAAAAATGCATTGGTCTACTCTTTGGCACATCAGAATAATTTTGTTTTGTGTCGCTGTGTATTAGCTTATTAAGCTGTTACCTACCCTAATAACCCGCCTAGTTTTTTGCTACCTGCATGCTTTCAAACTTTTTTATTTTACATTGTTTTTCTTGCCAAACCGTTTTTATACAGTTTTTTAATTCTACCCTATAGGGTGTGACAATATTTACCCAGCTAAAAAATATTGTTATAATTTTTTTATTTCCCTGACAACTGTCGAAAGTAAAGTTTTTTGTTTAAGTAGAAAGATACAGAATTTTGTTATGGATCGTTATTTGCCTCAAGAATGCGCAGAAATTGTTAATTTATGTTTCCAAAACTTTTTCGATAATTTTAACTCTCTCACTTTTACTATTTTAGGTAATTTTGACAAAATCTGACAACATTGCAATTAAATATGGAGAAATTTGACAATGTTTTCATAAAAAAATAAGGCCTGTGTAATATAAAAATGTTTTATTTACTAACCTGTTGTGGTTGCAGCAATATTTTCAGGTGGCATGACGTTAAGGCTGGCCACCGCCTCCGCTATTCCTGCCCTCAACTTTCCGCTTTTTTCTCCCATTGGGACAGTGATGCCAACTGTCGGTTTCCTCCACTGTTGCAGATTTAATCACTATCTATAACTGAAAAAATAAAAAAAATATATAAATTAATAAAGAACCCTATTTATAATTTTTATTGGAAATACAAAGAGAAAAATGTTTTAATGCAATATCATCTGTTTATATATTTAATTTTATCATTAAAAATACCCTTGTAATTATTTTGTATAATGCTTTATCTGAATTTTTATTTGCGCATATTAAACTTTTTAAATAAGATTTCGTCAATATTGCCGACGTTTTTTGTATTGGTTAACCAGTCAAGTGTTATAAACACAATTCATGAAGGCTAAATGGCTTTTTATGTTCATGAATTTCGCTGCCAAATTTAAATAATAAAAGTTTTTAAATGGTTTATTTGCATTTAATGCATTTTTATCGTCAGTTGTCCTTGATTTTTTTATACAAAAATTTAAACAAGTCTATAATTTTACTTTGATATTAATAATAATAATAATACTAATTTACAATTATTACAATAAGTTAAATAATGATAATTTTAAAACTATTTGCTTTACTTTTTTTAAAACACCAAAAGAGAACAATCAAAGAAATTTAAATATAGTTTATTTATTTATTATTTATTTCGAGCAAATTCTACAAATTGGTATATATTGACCATGTAGGGTCCTATGATTTTTAATGTAATGTACATTATAGACCAGGCGGAGAAGGCACATATTGTCGCAGAGCATACATTTCACTGTCAAGCCTTGACAGTCAAGGCAGTAGATTGTGTGCAAGGCAATTAATATGCTTTCGCCGCTGGGTTTTATATATACTATTTTTTTCAAGCAGTTAATTAAATAATTTTGGGATAGGTTTAAATGACATGATGACATGATAATAATTTGACTTTTGAACTAGTATTAAAATGAACTCTTTCTATAAAGACTTATAAGTGTTATTTACACTCAATATAGACTTATGAGGTGTGTTCAGAAAATATCGGGAATTTTCGTTTTTTGAAACAAATATTTATTTATTCGTCTACATTAATGTTGTCGCCTTCAAAATAGTCCCCATTGAATATTATGCACATGTGCCAGCTCTTCTTCCAATACTCGAATCACTTCTAAAACTCGATCTTTGAGATAGCCTTTAGTTCTTTCAGCGATGCGCTTTTAATGTCATCTATGCTTGCAAAACGACGGCCCTTTAAGGTTCTCTTTATTTTTGGGAATGGGAAAAAGTAAGACAGAGGCATGTCTGGCGAATATGGAGGCTGGGGCATCATTACAGTATTGTTTTTGGCCAAAAATTTTGTTCAAAAACTAAACAATTTTGGAACAAATTTTGCTGCCACGCGTTTCATACCCCAAGGGATGAGCCAATCGATATATCAACATCATCAGCGACTTCTCTGATGGTTTATAACCATTTCTTCCACTTTTTCCATGTTTTTATCGGTTGTTAATGTGCTTGTGCGTTCGGGGCGTTCGTCATCTTTAACGTCTTCACGGCCATCTTGGAAACTCTTATACCACTTTTAAACTCTTGTTTTACTTATAGCAGACTCACTATAGGCCTTTGTTAACATTTTACAGAATTTATTTCATTTTTTAAGCAAAATTGGATACAAATTATCATTGATCCATTTCTTTTAACGAACGAAATCGCCGAGATCATAAAACACGTCTAACCTTAGCGGATGCCACAGACAAAGTAAACAATGAAAACAGCTAAAGTTTTTATCATACTTCGGGGGCATGTATACCAACATTATAAATAAAATTTTATGACAACCGGACCCTCCGAAGCCGCGAAATTTAACAATTCCCGTTATTTTCTGAACACACCTCGTATAAGTGTTATTTACTTCAGTTCCATTCAATAATGGTTTACAGTATTGAGAAAAGAGATAAATGTTCAGTTGCAAAAATCGTGCAGCAGATTTATAATATAAACACCATCCGGGTAGGTATGTGCAAAACAATCGTTTTGGAGTAATTGGGAAAGTTCCGAGAAACAAGAGAAAACGAAAAGCGGATCTTTAGTCCTAAACGTGAACGTTCGTCTTAGGACAATTTGGTGCTGACAGAACTTTGAGCTAGAGAAAATTAGCTACGATTACTAACATTCCTAGAACAAACCCGAGTCAAAATTTAGATCGTAATTTAAACCTACTTTAACCTACGAAAAGTGATTTAAAACCTGTTCAGCCTGTTAACTCCAATTTAGCACTAGAACAACCAAATTAATCTTCATTTGAACCGATTTAAACCTCTAATAAAATTTTTGGTCGGATTATAAACCAAGTAAATCATTTTATTTCTAAAATAAAATTTTACCATTGATAACCCGAGTCAAAATTAAGATCGTAATTTAAACCTTAAGTCTGACAATTTCCGTCTTAAACGGTTTTATATTCGCCTAAAGATAACCAACTTATGACCTAAAACATGGCAGATAAGTCCATTTTCCCGATTTTTCGGTTCTAATTACGTTTAAATTTAAACCAAAAATTTTATTAGAGGTTTAAGTCGGTTTAAATCGGTTCAAATGAAGATTAATTCGGTTGTTCTAGTGCTAAATTGGAGTAAACAGACTGAACAGGTTTTAAATCAGTTTTGGTAGGTCAAAGTAGGTTTAAATTACGATTTAAATTTTGACTCGGGAAATTCCATTGTTTAATTTTACTGCAAATAATGAATGTAAAGAATTCGTCCATTTAGGAAATTTAAATTATTCAACAGTTTGTACCAAGCCTTCAACCCAACCCAAACCAGCATTTACAATGCACTCTACCTATACTTCTACTGAACTCAAGCTATTAACTTTTCTTTAAATGAACTAAAATAATTAAAATTTAAATTTATTAAATAAATCGTAAATTTTACTCGTTTTGGTTTTTTCTTAACTAAGTATAAATGATTTTAGGTACCTAAAATTATTTATATATTGTCGCTGCGCCTGTAAGAACCTCTATGCGCATTTTAACAAATTTTACAGGAAAACAAAAAACATTTTACTACAAGATAAAACTTTTATGAAAGTATGCATTCCTTAATATTATTTCAATACTTAATTATACTGAAAAATACTTTCATCAAAGTTTTATCTGGTAGGGAAATGTCTTTTCCTTCTCCTGTAAAATTTGTTAAAATGCACATAGATGTTTTTTCAGGCGCAGCAACGATATATTTAAATTCAAATATTGTCGCGCTTTTATTATTCGACATGCGCAGTGGCCTGGGCTTTTTTGGACTGTATACTATAGGTTGTAAACGGTCATAATTTGGTTCAAATTTAAAAGTAATTAGAATCGAAAAATCGGGAAAATGGCCTTATCTGCCATGTTTTAGGTTAAAAATTGGTTATCTTTAGGCGAAAATAAAACCGTTCAAGACGGAAATTGTTCAGACTTATTAGGTTTAAATAATGATCTAAATTTTGACTCAGAAACATACAACGGATCCTTGAATCTCATAGTTTTCGTCCTTACAAGATTTATAATATAGCTTATTATAAAAATTTGCTTTTTAACATGTCTTTTTCAGACAGGTGTATTTTTTCCAACTCAACTGCCAATCTCAATAATTGTCGCTACTGACCATTTTTCTTAATGGTTGTCTAACAGGAATTTCTAGAAAATGTAGTTTATTCCTTACTGGTCATTTAATGTTCAAACAAAATAGAGCACCTTTACACTATGCACTTTTTAAAGAGTTTTTGGATCGAGTGGCCGGCCAGATCAACAGATTTAACTTCTCTAAACTGGCGAAAATGCCAATCACCTCGTTTACTGTGCTTTTATTTTGAATTTGATTCGCACCAGGCATCGACTGACAGTCTATTTCGGACTCTTGGTCCTCATCAGTTCCGGGCAAAAAAGCACACTTGAGACAAAATGCACCCACCGTTTTTATAGTATCACAGCTACAGGAAAAGTGGTGGCAACACAGTGTTTCGAGTGTGCTTTGCGCCTCATAGCTACCCGGTACTGATGAGGACCAAAAGTCCGAAACAGGCTGTCTGCGAAACACATTCGAAATAAAAACACAGTCGACGAGGTGATTGGTATTTTCGCATATTGATTGGCACTACTCCTTACACAACAAAGTATCGTGGATAAATGTCGTTAAATAACTTCCCAAACTTCGCTGTTGAGGCTATGGAGGGCCCTGGTCACTAAAAATGACTTAAATCGTTTTATAAATTTAAGTCTTTAATTTAATATTTAAGTTATTTAAAAACAAATTAATTCCTTTAAAAGGATTAAAACTTGAATCATTTATACCGTCGTAAATCTAAAAAAATAACAGTTCTGTCGCGACATAACTGTTATTTTTTAAACGCGTCGCGTTAACGAAATGGTAATAAATATTAAACTAAAATTAAATAAGTTTATACTTCTTTATTATGATGTTAAAATACACTTTGGTTTTCTGTAAAAAAATTACCCAGTTATCTTAAATTGTTCCGGAATGAAATTCCATTATGTGAAATTGTCTCATAAATGAAAAACATTCAGCGTTGCCATATGTCTTATAATTTTATAAAATTCATTTAACTAGTCACGAACTAAATAGCCATGAATGTCTTGAAAGAAGCATGTAGTAGCTATATAAACAAAGTAAATATTTATCAAATTAATGGTGGATGTTATTAAATTTGTTACACTTTCTTGAAAGAAAGCGATAATTGATGATGTTATTAAGCTTTTTCTTGTTTATTCTGCACTTTTTGGCGGGCCTTTATATCTCGAGAACAAAACATTTTTCACTCGCAAGCACAAAAACACAAGAGAAAATTTTGAATTTTTTCTGCATCCCGTGCATTGTCACTTGGAAGCGACAGACAAGCCAATAAAAACGGTACAAGTTTCCTTCAATTTATCAACAAGTCGATATCTTTGCCCCAGCCTTAGATTAATCTTGTTACGATAATGTTTCATAGCTTAACATTTATCAAAGTCCTATTTTTGAGGTATTTGCACGTCCCTTATTTAACGATAAAT